ATATGGCTATCAGTTACCGATGGATTGTCGTTCCTTCTGGGGTACGCAACTTGACGCTGATCACGCCATCGTACGGGCCCGCTTAGCACTTCGCTTTCCGCCAGCACTGCGCGTGCCAAAAGAGAGCAGCTTCGTTTACCAACTTCGACAGGTTTCAATAGCTAAAAGGTATCGAGCTGATCTGGCCCGAAAGCCACTGGAAACGCACAGTCATCTGGACGACGAAGATTGCTTGGAGGATGAATGGAGACGAGTTAAAGAAACAATGCTACCAGCTTTCAAAACTGTTTATTCAGCCCATCTGACCTGACTCAGTGAACACTGGATACCTTCGAGATAAGCAGATCTTATTGCTGCCAGAAAGGCTATACAGCAACTAACGACTATAATGGCATGCGCAGATCCATCAAACGCCAATTAATCAGGAGCTTAAAGAGTGACAGAGAACACTGGTGGATTTCGAAGACCCAGGAGATGGAGAAGGTTTTCGCTGCAGGCAACAGCCACGTCCTGTTTCAACTGATTCGAAGAACGAGTCAAAAGAAGGCAGGTGTCAGTGAGACAATATGCAAAGAAGACGGAACAGCACTTCGCTCTATCAATCGCCGCCTTGAGCGGTGGGCTGAGTACTTTCAAGAACAGCTCACCTGGTCCCCTTCAACAAACCCGCTGGAAGAATCAAGCGGGCCCGAATAGAACATTGACACCAACCCACCATCAGCAACCGAAATCCAACACGAGATTTCAATCCTAAAGCGCGACAAGGCACCTGGCCTGGCACCTGGTCTACACCCCGCGCTTTTCAAAGAAGGTGAGGAGGTCCTGGTGAGCAGTCTGACAACTATATTGCAGAAGATTTGGAACGAAAGCAATACCAGCCGGACGGAGCTCCTCGACGGTCATCCCAGTTTTAAAAAAGGGAGCAAAAACGCCATGCAAAAACCATCGTGGTATCAGCCCGATATCTGTCGCATGTAAGGTGCTCTCTGGCATTATCCTGTACAGGATGATGGATTATCGGGAGAGACAGATTCGTGAAAATCAAGCTAGGCTTCGCCCTGGTCGAGGATGCATCGACCACATCTTTACCTTGAGAGAAATCCTTGAACAGCGCCACTTCTTCATACGTCCCACGTTGATCGTTTTTCTCGATTTGAAAGCTGCTCTTTGATTCTGTCGATCGTCAGCAGCTTTGGCAGTGTCTGGCGATCAAGATGTCCCAGATTTCCCTCCCTTATGAGGGCACTGTGTGCGAACTTCTGTGGGCACATACGAGTATACGGCAAGCTCTCATCTGAGTTCACTACGTCCAGTGGTGTAAGATAAGGTTCTCCTCATTCCCATCCCCCTTCAGCTTTGTTATTTATATGCTGCTTGGAATTTCTCCGCCTGTCTCTGAAACCTCAGGAGTCGAAATGCTCGCGGGACGCTCCCTCACAGATATTGAGTATCCAGGCGGTATTGCCCTCCGTGGTTCAGATCCTTCCCAAATGTGGACGATTTTAAATGACCCAAATAACTAACTCGCACGGTTTTCGATGCGCTTCACACCTGCAAAGTGTAAAGTGCTGTTACAAGACGGGCTGGGATCCAACCCACATCTCATGCTTGCAGGTGAGCCAATCGACGTGGTAGATAAATTTGTTTACCTCTGGCGCCGTGACGTGCGCTTACCTGTTAAGGGAAGAGTTTACACTGCGGTGGTGCGACCCATACTGCTTTATGGATCAGAGATGTGGTCTCTACGCGCAGAGGACACACGGAAGATGTCAGTGTTTGCTCATCGGTGTCGCCACAGCATTAGTCAGGTCTAGTGGGAACATCGGATCAGTAGTGCTGAGGTACGCCAGATAGTCTTAAGAAAGAACTTTCTCACGATAGATGAATTACTCAAGCTTCATAGGTTGCGCTGGTTGGGACATGTACTCCGCATGCCAGAAGACCGTCTGCATCACAGAGCTCATTTCTCTCAGCCCTGTGCTGAGTGGAAGTGACTGTCTACAATCGTTGTCTCAGAATCATAGCTAGTGTGGGTTGGTGTCGGCGAATCCGTAGTGAGGCAGTTAGAAAGCGAGTTTTCGGTTTCGCAATGGGTACTTCCATTGAAGAATGTGTCCAGCACTAGAAGCTGCGTTGGTTGGGATATGTGTTGCGTATGTCGAACCATCGTTTGCCGAAGAGAGTACTGTTTTCAATGCCCAATTCAGAGTGGCGTAAACAGAGAGGTGGCCAACCCTTGACTTGGCAGAGGAGCATGAAGGAGACCACGAAACGCTTGGGTGCTGTCGGTGCTACTCGCCTTCCAGGATGGGGACCGCGTGATCCTCACTGTGCTGGTTGAAGACACTACAAGATATGGCTGCCAACCGACGTCAGTGGCGTGCTTGTTGTCAGTTTCTATCCAGATTGCTTGAGTGAGTGTCTGGAGGTATAGGTACCTCCAAATGATTGTGGTCTTCTTGCTCGACTAATAAGCCCGGATAGCTCTCGACAGAGAATGGCGTTCTCAGCCCCCAAAACTGTAGCCTGTTGGGGCACACCGTTTGGGGCACTACAAACAGATGCCTCTTTTTCTACGTCGAGAGGCGCCGCGCTTGGTTTGGATGGATAACTGAACGGCGCAAAGACGATTGTTCACTGGTAGTCAGTCCATCAAATGTGTTTAGCTCTGGTTTTGAGTGCAACTCCGATGCTATATATTCCATGAGCCAACGCTTCTAGGTCACCGGACACGCGGAGAGTCAAATGTGAGAGCCGAGTTCGTCCTTGGCGTTCTGCGGTGCATAATCACACCCGGGTCTTGTACGCGTGTTTCGACAGCATACGTCGATTTAAGGTAAGTATAAGGTATCGTTAAGCGGCACGTGTTTGCCTTGTTTGACGTAGACTGTGGACGTTCAAAGTTCCCATGTAAAGGATCTCGTGGACTTAGAAAGGTGTTACTTTGTTCATCAGTAATATTTATTCAGGTGCATCAGGCTGATCAGTCAGATAACTGACACTCGAATGACTCAGCAACGTTCGCTTGTGTGATGGAAAGGGGTTGGGAAGGGACATCGGTGGACAAAGAATTGTACGGGCCGTACAACCGTATCTACCAGGCTACAGTGAGGTCTGTTTTGTGTATGGCCGTGAAATGTGACCTTTGTTCGAAGATATCAGGGCGCACCCAGACAGAAGAAAAAGCACATGTGCAGACAGTGACGCATCCCCAAGCTTTGTTCATCAGTAATATTCAGCCGGGTGCATCAGGCTGATCAGTCAGATAACTGACACTCGAATGACTCAGCAACGTTCGCTTGTGTGATGGAAAGGGGTTGGGAAGGGACATCGGTGGACAAAGAATTGTACGGGCCGTACAACCGTATCTACCAGGCTACAGTGAGGTCTGTTTTGTGTATGGCCGTGAAATGTGACCTTTGTTCGAAGATATCAGGGCGCACCCAGACAGAAGAAAAAGCACATGTGCAGACAGTGACGCATCCCCAAGGTTACCATCGGTACGACACGTCCGGAAAGTAGGTGAGTCGGCGGCTCCCACCAAACACGGCTTAGCAACAGACGACCAGCGAAGTGGGCCTGAGATTGTTTACGACCGGAACACCACCATTGGCTGTACGGAGCGAACAAGTGAACGACCATATTTGGCCAATTAGTCATCCTATATATTTACGCAGACGCTCTGTTTTGTCCTGACAATACAGCCGTGTCCCCAGTTCTCTGTCTTCTTCCTATCGCGTAGTCTGGCAGGCTCAGCGCAGGCGTAACCCCCATAGACGGCCACCTCAAGATACAACAGAAGACGGGGGTGAAGTCCTCAGTCTGTTTGATCTGTTTGCTTGCATTTGGGAAAAGGAGTCTGTCCCATACAACTGGGGAGAGTTCGTGATAGTGCTCGTTCTAAAAAAGGGCTCGTAGAGTGTGGTAACCGCAGGGTGATCAGCTTGACCCAGTCGTAACGAGACTGTTGGCGTCAACTGTGCTTCGCCGCCTTATGGTGGCTCGTGAGATACTGACTCGAGATTCCGGTCTGGTAGCGGTTGCCTTGACCAAATCTCCACACTTCGTCAGGTGCTAGAATAACGCCATACGTACAAGCGATCCATAATTCTAGTGTTCCTGGATTTCTGAAGCGCATTCGACTCGGTTCATCGGTCTGTTCTTCTTGACACGTTTGGCCACCAAGGAATGCCTCAGAACTTCGTGAACATAATAAGCAAGTGAGTGTATTTCTCGAAAACGGTCCAATTTGGGCTCAAGTAGAACATAAGATTGACGGAAACTGTGACTGCGCCTACCTGATGAACCCCAAGAAGGGCGAAACCGGCCGTGGACTGTCGAAGAGTTTTCAGCAACCATGTGAGTAGTTTCCTTCATGAACATAATAAGCTCTTTATATTCTGCGTTCCGGATATGTGAGAATATACGGCGAGCTCTCTGAAAGCTCTATACACAAAGCGTCGTCCGCCAGAGAAGCCTACTCTCTCCATTCCTGTTTAATTTCGCGATGGATGAAATCATGAGACGAACGCTGGAAGATCTTCAAAACCTCAGTGTTCAAGTTGCCTCTGACTAAAACCTTATCGATCTGGAATATGCAGGCAATATCGTTCTGGGCTTCAGAGAGGGGGATAAGGGGCATTTGTGTTTGGATGAACTGACCAAAGTCATCGCGTCCTTTGGTATGCTTTTTGAATCCTACTGCGCCTGGTCAGAGACGGTGCAAGATATTTCTTCCAATCAATGTCAATGGCGTTCTTGTCGGTTTCTATCCAGATTGCCTGAATGAGTGTCTGAAGGTGTAGGCACTCCGGGCTGATTGTTGTAGACCAGCGCCAGCTCCTTTTCCCGTCCATTTTTCTTTTTTCTTTCACGATAAGCCTTTCGAATAAATCAGGAATAAATCTTGGTTGTGCAGCAGTGAAGCATCAGTGTTGAACACTTATGTCCTAGTGTCGATTTTTTTTACCTTGACTTTTTTTTCTCACTTTATTTGGTAGATACATCCTCAGGAACACAAGAACTGGTGAAGAAGTCTTTGTTACGCGCTGATCCTGCATCAGGTTTATTCAATTCGTCGGAACAGGCACTGTTTCTAACGCGATTTCAACGCCATCTAGCGGATTATCTCTTCACTTGTGGTTATCCAAAAGCCGCGTTGAAGTTGGCCAACGAGAATCCAGATCTAAAGGAACTCTGTCTGACAGAATTGTTTGAGGAGGCAGTGCTGATTGAGGATGCTCTCGCCCGTGGGGACACTGGTCCGGCTCACTCTTGGTTGCAGGAAGCCAATTTTAAGTTGAAGAAAAATGAGGTGAGACCAAACATCGACCGCTTTCAACAATGGAGGTCTTTGTTCATATCGAAGACCTCATTCTCCAGCTTAAACGTGCGACTTTCCTCCTTCTCTACGCATTTTTTGTTTTAAGATTGTTTTCTGAGTGTCATGGTGGAACTGTTTTTTTTTGTTGTGAAGGAAGGTCCTTTGTTGAGAAGCGTATGATCCTAAGAGTTACTTGCGTTTTGGCACAGCATTCATTTTGAACATTCAGCGTCACCTAAATAGGTTCAGTACGCCGTGCTTGTGCTGCCTCTGTTCATCACATCATCGAGACGGCTAATAAGCAAACGGAAGACAGCTGCGATAAGTCTCCTACCAATGCATCCTCGTTATATGGAAAATGTATGACTGGCTAAGTAATCCAAGTAATGACTATGGTTACGGCCGACTTCTTCATTTTTCTCTTTTCGCACGCCTGATCATTCATATGCTTTACCATCAAACCGACCTATGCTTTGTTTTTGTCTCTTTCCCCATTAGAGTGTCTTCGAATTCGATTTGCGTGTGTTCGAGTTCTATTTATTGGTTCGCGAAGGCAAGAGAATGGAGGCAATACAGTAAGCGCTTTTTTGCTGCTCGCCATCTGTCGCTGGGTTATGTTCCCATTCACCAGTTTTTTTAACCAGATGCCCAGCCTTCCAGCCCACCATTTAGGTCCACACCATGAACCTAGTAAGGTGCACAGCGCTTTGTCCAGGTGTATTTTGCCATCAGTCCAAAGCACCTTGAGTGATTCAGTCGCTCCGAATGTTTACGTTATGATTGCGTTTCCGATCGTTATTCGGTTTTTATCGCGATTGCATACGCCTGTGGTTGACGGTTTTTAAACTGTCTGAATATCGATCTTCTTCCTCGTCTCTTCATGGTTTTTGTGACGGACGGAATGAATCTTGTGTTTACACACTGTTTACTTGCACACTGCTACTCTTCGACGCCCTAGTTTTGTTGCTTGGACCAATTGAGAAAAACGCTTACGGCCATGTTAATGCGCCTAGCAAACGGAGCAATGGTCGTCTCCACTAGGTGGTGTAAAAACGTTTTTAAAGTCTGATTTCTGCTGGGGACTTGAAAGAAACAGTCATGTGTATCACACTAAGGCCTTGGGACTACTAATTCTATTATATTAACAACGCATTGAGCGGAGTTTGTTAAGGCCGTGTGTACACACAGTGCCTCTTGGTGTACTTCCTCCGGCTGATCGTTTCATGTTCGAGTTGCATCTCTTTTAGGGCCTTTATTGTCCCCAGGTTAGCATCACCTCATCTTGGGTCCAGTCGTTTTTTCCGAAAGTGGGATGAGTTTTAGTTAGTTGAATGTTTTAATCTTTTCTGGTGCTTGGTACTACGCATTCGCTTGCCGAAAACTTCGTGGCCGTTTCGTATATCATTTCAGGAGAAACTCGGATATAACCACATGCTTCGTAAACTTCAGGAGAGTTGTTCATTCAGATATCATCGTTGGAGACTTCTGACTTCCTTTGACCGTCAAAGTGATATAACCTTTCTCCGGTCGAACCTTTGAAGTTGGCCTGTTTGCCCTTCTGTAGGTTTCTAAGTCGAACGCTAGTCGCTCCGTTGTTCCAGCAAAACGGTAAGTACTGAAGGACCATGATATCGTGACCAGCGACCTCGTATATTAAGAAACGGTATGCACGGGTTGGTTAGATTAGGGAAATGCTACCATTGCAGGGTAGGGTCACCTGTATGGAAAAACCGCGTGAACGTTCCTCGTTAACTACGGACCAGTGTGATGTCCATCCTAAACAAGGCGACATTTCGTACAACAAGAATGGGTTATTTTGTGGAAATTTCATCCTGTAAGTGAAGCCGAAAAGTGAAAAACCGGGAAGCACTGTACATCTGTTACATCCCTATTGGGAACCATCAGCAGTGTGGGTCTCACGAAACTCCGGCGAGTCTCGAACCCGCGACCTCCTGACTTAACCGTTCGGCCACGAGCGGCTGATCAGCAGTGTGATTACCTAGCACTTAGGATATAGCGCCGCTCATCCTTCAATCACGGGATCCACATCACGCGGTCACAAGTATCGACTCGCTCCCCGAACAACGACATCTCAGATGTCAGTTTCACTCATCGGGTGAAGTTTATTCTTCCACTGAGCTACTCATAGACCATTGGCAGTATACGGAGATTCGGGTTTTTTGTGGAGATTCCGTTCTTTAAGGACTGGGTTTCTGAGGCTCCTTTTTGCACCTGCAGATCTTTGACTCGACTAGGTGTTTTTCGCCGTCTACTGGTTTTCTCATACGAGTGTCGTGATAAACTCTGACTACCCATGTAGTTCTTCAACATTGAGCTTCATGTGCCCTTGGCACTCAAATATCCCTCTAGCTTATTTCAGTCTTTCGTTATTGGCGATCATGTTACAATCCACTGCTTGTTTCTCAGCTGTAACTCATGTACTCAGGTTACGTGAGCTCCAGCTGTCACAGTTTACACCACCGGAAAACGAGACAGCGTTGGAGTCAATGGCATGTTCAGTTAGTTCGCAAACTGGTCAGCTGCATATTAAAGGCGATAGCATGATGCATGAGTGCCACTGTCTGTGTGATTGAGCCTTGTCTTCCAGTGTCATTAACCATTAGTGAGTTGAGTCCTGGGGTCCGCAAACTATGTTTACTGGTTGGTTTTTCCTTACTTCATTGCCAGGTCATAGACTGTCTACCGCTCGGTCAATTTCACTTAGCACAGGGCTGAGTGAAAAGAGCTCTGCAAGGAAGGTGATCCTTTGGTATGTGAAGTACATGTTATAAGCAGCTTAAGTTATGAAGCATGAGTGGTTCATCCATCGTCGGAGAGATCCTTTTCCCAAAAAGCACCTGGCGTACCTCAGCAATGTTAATCCGATGTTCCCACCAGACCCGTCAGTGCTTATTAGATGCCAGTAATCAAACTCTGACAGCTTTCTCTTGTCCTATGCGCATACAGGTCGTGTCTCTGATCCATAAAGCAGTGTATAATCTGCCCTTAACAGACAAACGGACGTCAAGCCGGCTACATAGGCGTTGCAGTTTGGTAAACGTGGTGCTGGCGTTCCTGATACCAGCAGTACTGACGTCCTCAACCAGTCTACCGGAACTTATACAGCTGCTAGTTTAAATAAATTTATCTACCACGTCGCCTGGAAGCATGAGATTGGGGTTTGATCCCGCCCAGTCTTGTAGCAGCACTCTACACTTTGCACGTGTGAACTGCATGCCAACTCGTGCGGCAGAGTTGTTTAGGTTACTTAGAATGATTCGAATGTTTGGGGGACCCGAACCAAGAGGGATAATATCGTCCTCGTACTGGATGTCTTTGAGCGAACGTCCCGGGGGCATCTCGGTCCATGATGTTTCAGAAGCAGGCAGAGGAATTTCAAGCAGTAGATCAGTTACAGATTTGAACTGGAATGGTGAGAGAGAGCAGCCCTGTCATAATCACTGGACGTGGTAAACTCAGGCGAAGCTTGCTTTGTACCTATAGGAGCCCATAGGAGTTCGTATACAGTCCCCTGATAATGGATATACATTCGGAAGGAATATCTCTGGTTGTCGGCCGCCACCAAGATTTCTGACAAATTAGCCTTGATGCCAGGAAAAACAGTCAGCTTATGACGTTTGAAAGAGTGACGCTACTCAGGAACCTGTCTAAGGGTAAAGATAGGGTAGCATCATCCTTAGTCTGGGTGAAACCCAGCTTCGTTCCAACGAGTTTCCTTTCCGGTAGTCGATCAACTTGCGCCAATTAATGCCGGAAAGCACCGTGGATTCGGAGGTTACCAGACTGATTCCACGTTGTTTGTCGCATTACGTTCATGCGCTATTTTTAGGGGCTAGAATCATCGTCAGCTCTCTCAATTCCATTGGTATTTTGTTTCCGTCCCAAATCTTCCCTAGCTGGGCTGCCACCTATTGTTGCCTTTTCACAAGCACCATGTTGCTCCCTTTCAGGCACGCAAGGAAATACATGAGCTCAATCAAGAAACCAGATGAGTATAAAGCCACCAAACTGGGACAAGCAATGGTCCTGCTTGCTATGCGAACTCCAGAAGAACTCCAGGCTAAAGCTGTGAGTTTCACTTTAGACCATAATGATGACGATCTCGAAAGCGCGCATCGTTGAGTCTTTTCTATCTCAAACATGAGGTGTTTGGCACTGTGACATCCACTGTCCTAAAGCACGCTTTATATAACGAGTGTTTCTATAGTTGTCCCGGTCTATACAACTAACATGCTAAAATGTCACCAATCAGCTGTTTTTGCATTGGGGTCGATTTCAAGCCAATTACTCGACTGACCCGAGTTAACGAACGTCACGTGGCTGTGCGTAGTTGGACGTTGTTTTGAATTCCCAGTTCGATACTTGGTACCACGTCAAATAGCCTGTTTGTTCAGAGTGTCTTTCAAGATCTCAGCTACCGCTTTCACACTCACGCAGCACAAGAATTACCTCATAAACTCTTCTTTAGTATCGGTTTCGCAGATTGTGACACCGATGTTGTTGCTGACCTTTTCACTAACGTTTCTAACGAAAGCATGACTGCAGCTGTGTATTCGAATAGGATTTCGTCATCAATTTCTCTTGGATCAAGCATATTTTGTTTTAACTGTAGGAGTCCGACGCTCCGTTGTGCACTTATATGAGTTGTTGTTTTGAGCATCCCTGTATTTACCGGATGAATTCACCGACGGAATTCACTAGGTTAGTATTCTCGCCGTGCTATACCACTGGAAACCTCGATGTCACAAACTCGGACCACAAACCTGCCAAATTTAGCTAACTACCTTTCATGCCCGTATTTTGGTGGTGTAGACCATAATAGCGAATGTATTTAGTAATTTTTCCCCAATAATTATTATTCCAGGAATACAATAACCTGACGGAGAAATGGATTGTCAAGCGTGCCCACGAAGTTCTAATGGATTTCTATTCCTATCCGGCCTACTCCCCTTTCCAACTGATCGTCAATGCTGGTATATCTGTGATCAAAACACAGTATCCTTTTGTTGTTGTTGTTGCGTGTCACGTGTTTTTTTTGCGTGTTTTTACTGTCCCCGAAAGCGTGACAACTTAGCTACTCACGTGCTGTATAACCCTGCGAGAAGGTATAGATTGGTTAGTTCAGCTACTCGTAAATAAAGCTGCGATTTCCTAGCGAAGTCGTTCGACTGCGAAGAGCACGACAATCGAAGCCTATAGGTAGAACGCAAGTTCAGCAAGCTAATCGCTTTGAAATACAGAAATGACTAAAACAGCGTGGAAACTCAGATGCTAGCCGATCACCATTTGTTCGACATGTCGTGGCCAACAGAGTAGCTACACTAGTGTTCTAATCGCCAATAACCACCAACCTATCCACTATATCGGGATGTTTTTTTTCCGCATGATGAAGGCCATTTTGAATGGAGCGCGGTTTCTTGTGTGCCTTGGAGTGTTGTTTTGGACGCATTGTAGCGTAATTCACTATAACTAGATGTGCTATCCAATTAGGTTACCTGTGCTCTGAAAACTGTTTGACAACGTCTCGCCATATTTCTTGTGTAACAGTTGCCATTTCCCATGCCGTCCTCTGACAATGGTCGTATTCCTTATAACAAAACTTTGCGCTTATACAGTCAATGTTATGACTCAAAATCGCAACACAGGGATTGTGCAGTTTGTCACCCATTGATCAACCAGTTGGCTGTCCCACTGCCTTTTGGACGGCATGACCATTCGGTGCTGACCTGCTACCAGACGGGTCTGCCGATGAACGAGCACAACCTTCCAATGTCACTTCCAAACGGTTACGTTTACAGCGAAAAGGTAATTTGTTTCTTTCCTCTTGCTTCTCGAACATCGCTAGTATTTGGGTTTCGTTGGTCGGTAGTTGCACCTGTACAACTATCCCCTAGATAAGTCGATTTCGATGTATGAGACCGCTGTGTTCATTGACACTGATTTTACTGGCCCAATAATCAGCCAGTGAACAATGCTCATAGGCAAAGGATCAAATTGCTAGAAAGAGCATCGTTTTGGTGCTCTGCGTTTGGAGGGGACATGAGACAAGAAATTCTGGATGTAGTAGACGTCATACATGCGTGGAAACTGATCCGTTTTATGTTGTCGAACACGGATATGTGAAGAATCAACGATGGGTCTACTTGACGAGAAATTTACCATTGCTATAGCAATTGAATCATTTTTTATTTGCAAATACATAGTTTCGACGATTTTTTGTGTATAAAACTCATCATTAAACAAACAAACTTGAAAAGTACTATAACTTAATGACTGACTGCAACAAGGGGGGGTTCACTCTGGTCGAGGATGCATTGATCACATCTTTACCCAAAACAGATTCTTGAGCATAATCACTCTTTCAAACGTCCTACGTTGGTCGTTTTTCTTGGTCTGACTCTGTCGATCGTCAGAAACTTTGGCAGTGGTCGGCGACGAGAGATATTCCTTCCCAGTCTAAATCTTCCATGAAGGCACTGTACACGAACTCCTATGGATGCGTGCGAATATGCAGTAAGCTCTCGTCTGAGTTCGTCACATCCGGTGATGTAAGAAAGCTGCTGCCTCTCACCACTCTTATTCAACTCTGTTATTGATCTGCTGCTCGTAATTTTCCTGCCTACCTCTGAAACCTCGAGGAGTCGAAATGTCCCTAGAGCTTCGCCCACAGAAATTGAGTATGTAAACGATAATGTTCTTCTTGGTTCAAATCCTTAAAAAGCCTTAATATTCCTGCTGCGTGGTTTGGTGTGAGCTTGACACCTGCAGAGTACAAGATGCTGCTACAATACTGTGTGGAATCAGACCCAGAAACTCATGACTGCGGCCAGGGCATTATTTTGTTGTCTGTCAAGGTCAGAGTATACACTGCGGTAGTACGATGCACACTGCTTTGTGGATCAGAAACGTGACCTTTCCGCTCGGAGGATATACAAAAGCTGTCAGTATTTGCTTATTGGTTTGGGGTTCGAAACCCACCCTGGATAATTGATTTCTCCTGTCTAGACTCTGACAACTAGGCAGTATCTCTGTCTCCGTACCTCTTGCAGGTCGCATAGCATCTGCGCAATGAAAGTATGCCGCTTTCAGAACTGGCCCTTATTCACTTATCTTGATCCCTTCCCGTTTTGTATTGTGCAGATGTTAGCTTGACGATCGCCAACAGAGTAAGGTCCTCGCCATTGTACACCTAACATCTGTTTGTATAAAGACGATACTAGTCACATATCGCGTCAGCACGTGTGCCCCTCAGATCAATAACTGCTTTTCGAGCATCGACGAGCCTTGCGGTCGTTAACTTCGCGTCTTAGCCACTGGGCTTTCTCAACCTAGGAAGGGCGACATGTGTGACAGGTATATACCACTAAGGATTGTGAGTAGTGGCGTCTTTAAAACCCCAAACATCACGTCTGCAGGTAATTGGTTGTCGCTTTCGCATTCATCGATTAGAACGGAAGCAGTGACTAAAGATTTTTTTCTGTGATGATTCATCTTCGCCAATGCATAAAAAATCAGGTACATGGTTGGGTATGTTCGCCGGTGGAATGGTAGGCAAAGGTTACACAAGTCGATCAGTGATGGAATCATCATCACCATCAGCTGTAAAAACCGCGTACCTGCCGTACACTAGTTCTATCTGTCACGGTTCCGTTCACCGATAATTTGGGAAGGTATCGTAGATATCTACACAATGGGGGCGGTGGTGGATACAAATCGTCCAGCTGTAGCACCCTTTCGGTAACACATGCGTCGTAGGAATAATGTAGATTTCATTGACTGCAGTGTCCTTCGTATCTTTTCCCAAATCCAGGTCTACTTGGCTAAGTTGCGTCTTTGTCCCTGTTGGTCTGCTCATCCGTCAATAGAGCCTATTTCCATCTTTCAGGGCATCGCTGAACTCACTGGACCAGATGGGATGGTCACGTGTCCACGGTCGGGTAAACGCTTCAAGACTTCTGAAGTGCAACGAGTGTTTATCCTATAGTGTTTTCACCATTGTTACTCGCCAGGCCCATCCTTCCCTGGACCACTTCTTCGCCTTCCTGCAGTTACTTTATATGAGTACAGCAATACAGCTTTCGGACAGCGACGTTCTTCCAGAAATGCTGCCAGATGTTCTTACATCAACAACGAGACACGCCGCTATCTCCCCTTCTGGTCACAACGATCGCACATTGACTGACTACCTCTTGGCGATTTCGATCGTTTGTTGTCCAGGTAGGCTTCCGAACAGCCTGGACCAATCCTCATTTCAGTACTTGTTTTTTTTTACTTCTTTTCAGCATCATTATCCTCCGATTAGCTGTGGCTTTTCTTCCCCAACCAAACATGCAAAGTACACATGCACAGTTGTGAGTTGATGGTCTCGATCCCCATATCATTCTGTACTTGCATTCAGTCGAATCGCCTTAATGTACTTTAATCTCGCCAAAACTACACTCGTGATTTTTTCGTTGCTGACCACCTCTTAGGGATCTTTTCAAGTTCCACAGCTTTCAGCTTGCTGTAAATCCAAGTTTCGTTTTCGTTTGTCACCGGTTCGCCTTCCCCTATACTTCACCTTTCTCCCCTCTCCCTCTTCTCGACATAAAGTGTGCATGACTAACGAAACGTTGTTGGTATGTATAGATTCCACTTAATCCGGTTTCTTGGCCTTTACATTCAGGGCTAATTCTATTCTGCCGGGCACAACGAACTGAATGTAGCCAAACAGCTCGAGTGAGCAGTCTTTGTGACGATTAGTATAGTGCGACCTATAAAGGAACACGGGGGCGAGATGGCTCAAGTGGTTAGAGCGCGAATTTACTAACCGGAAGGTCCGCGGTTCGAACCCGACCTCTGCCTCCCAATTTCCCCTGTCTAGGCTTGGGCAGTATCCCAGCCCTTATGGTTCCTTCGGGTGGCATGGCAGCTGGGCATCGAAAGGGTGCTACAACTGATCGTCATCATGAAGGAACAAAAAATTGGCAAACTGCGTTCACTGCAACAAAACCCAGGTGGATAACGACAACTTCAGCTTGGCTGTGTGAATGAACGGCAACCCTACCTCGTTGACTTACACCGAGTGCCTTGAATGCGGACCACTGAGGCCAACGGATTTCCAGGTTTGCACAAGCAACTGGGTCTCACTTGGGCAGCTGCGTTAGAGAGGCTATTCCGGAAACCTAGTAGATGGACGTCGATGCGTTTCAGGGATCATTGTTTTTATCTATGGGTAAAGTGTAGCGTGATTTGAGCGCATAAGGTTGTGGCCGGATCTCCTCATGTCCCTCGACGCAGCTCCTGAGACCAACATTCCTCCACTCTTGCCCATCTTGTTTGTATCAGAATAGTCAGTTTGGGGGGGGGGCAGTACAGCCGTCATTCGAACACCACAGTCGTGGATGCCGCTTAGGATGCTGAAAATATTGACCAGATCGTTGATCTATAGTTCGATGTCACCCGTCTCACATTGTTGTTTCAGGTCTGGCTTTCCTAGGATATTACGGGTGAAGGTATCTATCAGTCTGCATAAGCATTCCAGTTAACTGCGATCGACGGTGTTTCAGCTTGCCAAAAAATTTCTGTGACGGTGAAATCCGTTAAACACGTGGTATGTAGACCGCAATTACGTTCATAATCACGTACACAATTAAGCTCAGCAGAGTGGTTCTAAATCGAGATGTCCTATTCCATTCGAACTGAGATCCCAAGGTGTGAGTGCACTGCGGGAAGGCCACCTCGCAGGTGATTAACATCGGAGTCAGTAACGTCAATTTTGGTACTCATACTTCACTTCCGGCAATTATAATTTTTTTGTTTGATAGTATTTAAAGCCTTAAGATGTGAAAATTAGATGAAAGAAGGACCTGATGCTAACCTACTGCAAACATTTTGAGGTGCCTGCACCACCAAACGCTTGATCAGCCAATCTGCAAAAAAATCGAAAGCATGAACGCCACCAACATCGATTAGTCGCCATTTATTGCGGTGTCTACGGCCGAATGTAGCAGTAGTCATGGGAACTTCATCCGGGAAGCTGGACCGCTTTAAACACACAAGCTCTTCGTGATCTCTTCACCCCTCTGCCAAATTGCCCCTCATCAACCTCGCATTCTGAAAGAGGCACGGGAGACAACACTTGTCTCAATAGGTGTTGTTTTAGCGTGCGCAGCACACGAACGAGCCACCGCAGCTGACGGTGCTGAATGTTTACGGCGATTAAGATATCTGCTGCACGACCAAATATTCATTTTCTAACCGCCTCGTTGTTATCCGACACCCGTAATATATCCGAGATGCCCCAGATCATCAGTTAGTAGAGGCTTCGTATGGGAACCATAGAATAGTACAGGATCCACTGATATGCACTCTAGGCACCATAATTGATGCAATATGGAGGTCAAGTATCGGGTCAGTGAGATTCGTACACTCATTTCACCAGACATCCATCCGAGTTAATTCAATTTCCGAGGTATGTACACTTCTCCACGACCCGTGAGCTTTTCCTTAGGTTGTAAGTGGTATGTTCAGAAAGTGGATGTTCTGATGCTTGGCACTTTGTAGTTGTAATAATCATGCCGAAAAACTGATGGTGCTTTGTAGAGACTCGGGTTATCTACTGGTTACTGTGGTCGAATCAGTAATTGGTGACCATCCCTGCTACAAGGTGCATTCTGATGCATTAGTGTGATTAGACTGGTTAACGGAGGCATGTGACATCTAGCCGGCAGTGTATAACGTTCGCTGCTGCGCATTGGGATGGTTGCCACCAAAGTACACATCAATATTGTCATCGTCAGACACGTGGACAGTGGAAAGTCGACAACCACCGGACATTTAATCTGCAAATGTGGAAGTATCGACAGACGTGCGATCGAGGAATTCGAAAAAGGGGCCGCTGAGATGGGTGAAGGCTTTTTTCAAGTATGCGTGGGCACTTGACAAAGTGAAGGCTGAGCGTGGACGTAGCATCACAATTGAGATTGCTTTGTGGAAGTTCGAGACGGAAAAGTACCTCGTTACTTTCATGGACGCTCCTGGGCATTGTGACTTCATCAAGAATATGATGACTGGAACTAACCAGACTGATTGTGCTGGCATGGCTATTCTTATTCGCATAGTTATTCCCTGATTGCCATCACAAAATACGAACATTCCAGTGGTGGACTCACAGTTCACAGCAGCTGCAGAGAAATTTACGTGGACTGAACCGATGGGCGCCTTGTTGCAAGAAATGATCATCGTGCCCCTCTTTGGTTCCAGAATGTAATAGGTAACCAAATATGGGAATCGTTGCACGATCGTAAGCCACCGCATTCAGCAGTCTGTATGCTTTTAATCACATGCCGCTGAGTTGACTTGACCTCATAGTTCACCAGTGTGATGTCTGTCGGTACTTAGGTGTTCCCCGTTTCGCTGAGGCCGCAAAAATCAATTGGTTTTCAACTTTAGTGTTTATCCGGAGAAAAAACTGACCTGATATTTACTTCACTACTCAGAGGACTATTAGTCTGTACCACCTGTGTACTTCACGTTTTTAGAGGCTGCAATAATTTGTTTTTCTTGTTCTCAATAACTGGGTACTGTTGTGCCCTGTAGAATTTACTCACGGAATGGAAAATTCCCGAGGACCTGCTTCTCAGCTGTTGTGTAAAATTTAGACTCTCTCTGCCTAAATTTCATTTCAGCACATTTCACTTTCGCTGATGGCCTGTCAAAGTATGCTCGTGAGTTTACTCTATGCGACTCGAATTCTGGCATTCTAAATGTTACAGATATGTATTGGTAGTACATTGTCCTATGGTCAAATCACCTACTGTCAACCCTGCAATAAATGCAGGTCACACTTTGAGAACAGGTAAATTAAAGCGATCCAGTGATATGAAAGCGAATCAGGCGGTAAGTGTCAAAGCTTGGGACCAGCGGACTTCCACGGATAGTAAACATCAAACTGTTTGCCTGTGCAAAATAGTCTAGGTTTTTAGTGTTACTGTGTGACTGGATGAGGACACGAATCATCCTGTACGAGCAAACCTAAATTTTCGCATGGAACGGAAAATTATTCAGATCTGCTACGAATAAATCCAGGAAGGTATCCAAGGTAACCACAAAACAACGTACTTCTGGATGATCTTTACATTTAGGTTTCCTCACATGCTTTCACTATGTAGTATTTCTTCATATTTAACTTTGTCATCTCGTAGATTTTAAAGCGTAACTCGAGTGTTCTTGCAGTTGTCACTTGCCACACATCCAGGTTGATAACCATGGGTTAGCTGATTTATAGTTGCTTGAGGTTTCAACTGGTCTCCTATCTAAACGGGCTGGCATTGCGGTTATTGAGGGATGATCACGTCTAATTGAGTTATTCTGGCCCTTGAAACGTCCCTCGATTTACGGACCACTGAATGAGCCCCGCGGCACCTCTACCTTGGTGCCGCCCACCACGGGTCTCCTCTAGCACGTGATTGTAGACTCCACATAGCGTGTCAGGTGATCGATCACAGTGGCGATCGCACTCTCCTTTTCTAGCCGGACTGCCTAGCTGAAGTTTTTTTTCTGGCCTTGTGTGCAGAAATTATTTTGGATGGGGTTCACAAAGTGCGCTGGATCGATCCCGCTGATGGCATCTTACCCAAACACAATGACCGTGTGCGTTTATTTTATTGTTGTTTGAGGGTTTTCTGGATCATTTTCACCAAGGTTCAATGTAGCAAGCCCCAAACTCTTTCCTTAGCTTCCAATCTTTAATAAACCATCCTTTCTTCGTGATTGTATGGCAGCTGAGCGTCGGTATTTACCAAGGTAATGCTTTATATAGGGAATGACAACGGAAACGAGTCCAACAGATTTTAAGACAAGGGTTAATCCTATTGCTTGCCATGCTGTTCGAATCAGTGTCCTGGCCAACACTCTTCAGTGGATAATTGGAATGTTTGCCAGAGAGGGAGAGATCAAACAATCACGTTTCTTTTGGAATAGTCTTAAGCGTCCAGAAGATCATACAAATGGGACAGAATGATAACTTATTGATTTACAGAAATCCGGCGCCATATGTACCTCAAAGATACGAATGGGTGCGAAATTTCCCACCGACCTCACTTTTTGATGACGTTTCGTTTCCCATGAATGATTAAATTATGACGCTGATTGTGAAGATGAGACATCTCCTGAAAAGAACCGCTACCCAGAGACTACAGACTGTCTAGTTGGAATGGCCAGCGGAAAGTTGATTCCTTTCTCCACCACTGATAACACCACTCGAATGGAGCAACCAATACATGACAAATTCAACCAGAACTAAATCTTTCAGGTTTAGTGACGTTATGCAGTGGACAGATATCACAAATGTGTTTGGGTTGCCAATTGATGTGGACGTGATATCTGTAACGAGTACATGTACTTTTTCAAGGTCTATCGTGACGACTGAACAGGAGGGTTTAGTCTTATTGCAGTGTGTTATATCTGCTGATTCGTCAATCTGTGGTATCTGCTGCTGACCCGCTCCAGCGCCTAGTTGCCGAAAAAAGACTCAGNGTGCGAGTGTCAGCGGTCTCAAGCTATTTATTGGAGGGACACTGTCTAAACTTGTCCAATGCCGATGCACACGTCTGACTTTGGTACAAGGCTGTGAAGCGCTGCATATTGAGGGGGCGTTGTCTGTCCGGACAACACCTAGCGGAGCTGAAGGTCTCGGTAGATCTCGGGCATTCGGTGGTTGCTTTCAGGAGGCTGACCTTCCTGATACGGTGAATGTCGGGTAACCTATAAATGTTGTCCAAGCGTATATGCGAAGAACCCCGTCCGTTTTCCTAGTAAGTAGGCAAGAGAACGCCAAAGCCACATCATTTTCTTGACTGACTTTCCACCTGTCAAGTTGGAAAGGAACGCAAACTTGTCTCTTGTTTTACTATTCATTTCCAGGCGGAAAACCGCCCAGGCGAGCCATCCTTAAGTAACACCTACTCTGATGGTGCGACATGCAAATTATTTGCCCCTCCGCCGAATACAAAACTGAAATCCTGGTAAGGAATGTAGTAGGAATTTTTATATGAGATGGATCTCTGGGGTGTTATAAACACGATAGCCAACTTCAAATTTGCTCATTTGTGCATTTCAGTTTTCTTGAGCTGTTCGACAGGAAGGAAGGTACCATCTTAACTAAATTTCCCTTATCTTGACGATACTGTAAACAATTTTAATCACGTAAACTCTAGTATTTCTGAAAAATAGCTCTCGCCTAATGACTCAAACCAGGTGAATCAAGGTGTTGTCATGATTGAGTGTCCTATACACATTTCGGTTATCGTGCCCGTAATGTGTTGTTGCACTTGGTTTACCAGTTGTCACCACTTGGTTTCGTTTTCTGAGTTTTCGACCAACAATACGGTCGCCTGAATGATCCACTGTGGTAGCTTCAATCATTCAGCGCTTGTTGCCATTTCCTAATGATATTTCATTGACACAGCATTATGTTTGCCTCATACAGATTGAACTCTTCCCCATCACGAAATCCCAAATTCATGGAACAATTAATGTTCTGTTTCACCCACCTCATCTTGCCTTGTTTGACGTCAGGACAAATTCTTCACTCTCCTAGATGTGGCATGTGAGGAGAGGTTTTTTCAGATATCTGGTCCAAAGCATAATTGTAGGTTTAGTGTGCGTTTTCATGTTTCATGCGAACAGACCATGAAAGTAGCGATGTTCCTTCGCCTCTTTTGAGTATGTTCTTGGGTGATTTGAAATACCGTTAAATCGGCCTCGATTTGGAGACGAAAAAAACTGAGCAGCATGCTGGTTGGCAAGCATATAACTCCACGACTACACACCCTTTGTAAGAGATCTCACAACTGGCTTGCACTGAGGGAGGAGTACTATTAAGGCTGCGCTAGTTTCTACTTCCATATCTCAGTTGTAGTTTAGTGTATCCTCCTCATATTCTGAAAATAAGTTGTATCGCTCTATGAAATGGCTTGCTCAACTGCAGCGTTACGTACTGAGTTGTACCGCACTACATGTCATGGCCTTTTGAAATGCAAATACTACCACCCTTTATCGCATGCGAAAAAGTATCCTCTGGAGTGGTTGTACAAAACTCTGGAATGTTTTTCACTGGGTCGTTAATAGTATTAACTTCAAGTTTACGTATTCATTGAATACAAATGCAGTGGGTCGCGCAGCAGCGTACCAAACGTCCTCAAGGCAGTCACTGTATAGGCTGCAAGCAGCTTCATCGAAAGTCGTTTTGTTAGGTCAAATCCACCGATGTTTCGTAGTTGTGGAATGGTCTGCAACTAGTTGTCTGTTATATTTGTAAGAAAGCAAGATGCTCCCAGACCTTTTGATGCAAACAGCCTTCATGTGATTGATACCGAGATTTGTTACCTGGATTGTATAACCAAAACGACCACGGTAGATTCGACTTGTAAAAGCCTACTGCAATTTTTGAATTTGGCGTTTGCAAGGCATTCATTTGCCTTGCCCGTTCAGCTTAAAATTTGCCTCACTGAATCTCACATTTTGCTATTCTTGCCAGAGGTGAGGCACGTTTTGGTCCATCTCGTCTTACAATGGCTTTGATCTGTCAATGCATTGCCAAGGCACTTTTTGCATCCTGTTCTGCCTCACATGTGCATGACGCTGTGCACTGTCTCCTATACTACATTCAAGAGGATATATGTAGATTCAGGTCTGGCACCAGAGCTTGGGCAGACTGTTCCATGAAGCGCACCCAGAACATTTGGAGGAAGACATCGGACCATTGGCTCTTCTCTCCATCCAATCTCTACGGACACTTACTGAAGCCTGGACGGCGAAGAACCGCATATCTCCCTATGGCAAAAATTAATTATTCAGCTGTGTGACTCTTCAGGCCACAGTCATCAAAATAACGTCACTCAACTATCACCCTCATGTGCAGGGCAGCTTGTTATCGACCGACTGAACATCAAACATATATAGTGTGCATCTGTGAAGTCGAGGAGCTAAAAACTTGTTATTTGCCTATGTGGCCTTCTAAACCTCTCGCATTCTGCATCAACCGAACACGTGCTTCGAAATAGCTCAAGCTTAGTACTTTGTTGAATAAAATACCTCATAATCTAGGGAATATGTACTTCAGATATGGTGCAGCTACGCTGGAGGACAACCAGAATGTTCGGAAAAACAGGCAGGTTTTTAGTAGCCCAGTACAGCAGGCATCAATATCTGTTCAAAATCTACCGACCGGCATGTCCATACCTCACGCTTGCTTCGATGCACCGAACACTGACTCCACCGTATTCCGAGGAACATCTTGCATGGTTTTGGAAGTAAAACCAAGAGAGTCCTTTGAATCTCACCAATAGATAGTTGAGTTATCTTAATCTTTTCTTGCGGACTGGCTTGTGTAACACCCGGCCTCTTCTATTTTTCAGTTCTCGACCAACAAATACTTGTCATGAATCCGTTTGGGGTTCACCCCAAGTTAAGAGACTATTCAAACAGGGATGAGTTTCAACTTAAAGTGCCCCCGGATGTTGTTAGGAGAAACCCCTACTTCTTTGGCCGCACCAAATTTAAGAAAGAGCCAAACAAATTGAAATCACATGAATGGTGATAGTTATGTAAAAATCAGTGCCAACTACAGCTGGTACGACATCCGACACTGACGATTCTCCAGTACAAGTTCTGGAAACTGTCCATCTCGGTAGATTCTTCTTGCATTCGAGTGCTTTCACGATGCATAACTTTTCCAAGCCTGAGGATTATCCACAGGCCTCTTCTTTATGAGCTGTGGAAGAAACAAAAGAAACTAACTTCTCATAAGGGAAACTACTCACAAGGTTGCTGAAAACTCTTCGACAGCCCACGACCGCTTCCGCCATTCTTGGGGCTCATGTGGTTGGCGCAGTCCCCGATTTTCCATCAACCTTATGTTCTACTTGAACCTTTCCTCTATGAAAATATACTGCGATATCTCGAATATCGTACCAAATGAAACATGAGGCGGCCTGTGTGCAGCACTTTCAGTTGTAGAATATCCTAAACGAGAGATTCAGTTGAGTCTCTCTTGGAAACCAAATTTATTTGCAAATGAGTGTATTTCTCGAAAAAATACTAACTGTTTTTATTTCCCTACGGCTCACGTTACTCCGACGACTTGAAATCTGTCGAATAGTGGTCGTAAAAAATAAGAAATAACGCCTCTTCAACTCGTCATTAAATGTTTAGCAAACGGCAGCCAGCATTAGCATAAATGCCAAGCCCGTCTGATCACTTTTCTTGTGGCGTGGAATAAACACTGGCAGATTTGTTGTCTCCATGGGGAGATTCGTCAAGTACATTTGCACAGTATATTGAAGGACTTGAGTTTCATAATTCACGTCGTTCACCACATAAAGCTCCTATTCCTTGTCAAACAGTTTGTCCTAATATGCACACGTAGATGGCCAGTTACAAAGCGAATACAAATACTTGCTGGATAGAATAAACAGTTAAAAGTTCTGTGCTCATCTTACAGACATGGAACTTCAAAGAGGGAAATTTCGTGACCATTAGATGATTAGTTCATTAATGAGAAACTATCTGACACATTCTGTTTCCCATTTCCTAAGTTTTTTATTCTCCCATCAAAATATTGGTAGCTCGGGTGAATTCATTGGTTATTGATCCGGTGGCTGTTGATCTGTTCGCCGAGCTTGGAGATTGGCTTGCAAACGTTTCGTCACCATTCGAGGAGACATCGTCAGTGCGCAGTGATGACCACTGCTCAACAGCCACCTGATCAACAAACCATATTCTCTTATCAATATCAACAAACCTAACTGTCTGGCAAACCATCACCAAGATCAACTAGAAATACACTGGAACCATCGATCAATGTACCGTCAGCAGAAGAACCCATGTGTCGATTTAGACTCTGTGTTCTAAAAACTGCACACAGATGAACTTCAGCAACTTGCAGAGAATTAGTAACTCTTTCCAGAACCGAGAGAAGGAGAGCCCTGTCTTGAAGACGTACGATTTAATCTCTCAAAATTCAGGATCGACTTCTGCGTTCCACTGAACCTATCACGAATGTGGACCTTATCAGTGCATGGTATATTCAAGTTTTCTGCTGCGTATTCCACGACAGCTGCTCTGAGGGTATCTAGAAATGCCCCTTATAGATCTTGGGAAGTGCTGAGCTACAGATGCCCTATTCGTAGTTATCAGTACGGCACTGCACGTATGATGCGATCCTCTTATATATGGGCTAGAAAAAGTTTTCCATCGAGGTTCATCTAGATGCTATTATATTCTCACCATGAGCCGGTGGTGAATGCCTCTGTACACCTCACACAGCCATTGCAATAGTAACTTTGAAGAAGACAAATCAATGGTGTGCTTCTAACCTTCATAACATGATTCATCACTGGTGACACCTTAGTGGCTATGCCAGAGTATGTTTAAATTCCCTTAGTATAAACAGAGAAGCTAAAAGCACACCGGACGCGATTGCAAGCCGACACTAACAACCAAATCAGGTTGGAACCAAACGTACAAGAAACTGGCCGATATCATGTGCTACTTGCAGTGAGTCGATAAATGCACCGGGCGCGATTGCAAGCCAACGATAACAACGAAATCAGGTTGGGACCAAACGTACAAGAAACTGGCCGATATTATGAGCTGATTGCGGTGGATTGATAAATCCAGGTCGTGTTTTATAGGGTCGCTTTTCGAATTAAACAAGTTAATTTCTTCTTCTGTGTCAAACTTTTCACCAAAGCAGGGAAGATGAACCTCTCTACCCTTCGGGGGACTTTTGAATAAGTTTAGGTGGAGTCGTTAAGTGCAAGATCAAACTATAGATTTGAGAAGGTTGGAGCAATTCTTGCCAATTAGCAGTAATTTTGTGATGAACCTTACCAGATCACCGAAGCGGATATACACCAGTGCAATGCAGCTGATTACGCCGTACCGAAAAACAGGTGAACCATTTTGAGGAGAGAATAGATCATTGTCCTCAGTGTCTTCCCAGCGGTGTCTCGTTAACATGACTAGGATCCACTAAGAACATCCGATCAGCAATGTGGTGGAATGTCACACGTTTCTTGAAAGAAGCCACATATCCTGCGTAGATCAGTTTGCCTAACTACTCAGGCCAGTTTTCAAGGGGTTCGTGGACTGTGCGTTATGTCGAACCATAAAGCGGACAGTTTCAAACCGAAAGTAGTCGGTGACCGAGCTCGAAAGCCCTAAGCAGCAAACCTAGCCCCATCGGCATCCGGGTGGCTACTGGAGCAAAACTTGAAAACGGAGAAACATTCACGACGGCATTGCTTCAGGGGCACCGTGGAGCAGAAGAAAAGCCATTTACTAAGGAGAGGAAGCAGAATTTTTCTCAGTTGATAAAAAGTGTAGCCGCCTTCATGATAAACCAAAAAGTCTCTTTCAACTCAGTGCCCCTCTTGGGCAAAGGTATTCGTTTGTCGCACCATGCAGTACACATCTCATCAAATGGGAAATTAATTTACAACGAACCAGAAGAATATACGCATTGGAAAGGACAGTAAGCGGTTACCTACCTGATAAGGCTTTACGGTATATCGACTCATGTCGGGTATCATCATCAGCAGTCTTGAAAGAATTCCGGAAAAGACTGCGTACTCCAGTAGTCGCTCCACGCTACGTATTCGTTTCTTCTTCATAAAGTTCATTCAAATATGAAATGGAGTCAGGGATGTTGATAAGAATAGATTTGAAAAGGCTGAACAAGTTGAAAGTTTAGTAAGTAATCTGATTGCCAGTTACTGGTCAAAACAATTATAGAAAACGAACCCATCGGAAATTGACTTGAAGTGAGTGAAACTATCTTCTTTCAAAGCAGAAGCAGCCAGGGAACATCACCGATTGTGTACGTTCCTTTATGTGGTCTGTTCAAAATAATGCTCTTTTCTGTAAATGCTCGAATGGTTTTTCTGTTTTCTATCTAATAAGGGCATTCTACCAGCAGTCGTTAACCTCTTATCTCATAACTATACCTGAATGTCAGTGGTAATTTTAGCTGACACTACGTTTGGATATTTCCAAATCAGGAGTTTCTCCTCACATGGTCAAAATCTTTACCTCATTTAGCCAACAAAAATGTTATTTGAGAAGTCTACCCAACCAGTATTTCCCTGACGGGAACAGATTTAAATTAACTGAAACTCTGCGGCGATGAGGTTGCCTCATTTCTAGCCTTTCTGTACTCATTACATGGGGAATTATTTGCCCGAACAGACACCGGACCATCAGGATGCTTCTGCGTTTATACCTGTCGCGATTCTAAAGACGAGTGGCCGCTGTAACAGACCAAACTCCTACTCTGAAGTGCCGTAACCATCTGTACAGGATTTGATAGAATATCAATTTAGTAAGTAGAGGGAAAGTAATTGCACTCGGTGGAGTAATTGTCAGCAAAAAATCTGTCCCCATTGGTTGTTTGACAGATTCTTAGGTTAATTGTACAGAGAGTTGCATTGCACGTTTTGTATGTCGGTTAACACCAATGCATTTCCAAGAAGATCTTATTTTACATTCACTTTTCCATTCGCCCCAACCGTGTCACAAAATGTGGCTCATGCAAGTTCCTAATATAGATTCCAGAATCTGACTTACAGTATTAGTTGAGTGGGGGTTGATCACCCAAACGGATTGTCTGTTGGCAAAGACCAGTGTTTCGACTGAAAAAAGGCATTTTTTGAAAGTTAATGGACGAAGCCAACCTGCATAAAATGGTTAGTGCAAAAACTCGGGCTACCGCTAAGCACATCGATGGCATTCAGCACTAGAATCTCCCCAACTTTACCTGAAAACGGAAGTTTAAGGCGGGTATCCCAACATTAATTACATTTATCCATAGAAAATTCAGTGGCTTATTTCTGGCTTTCTTGAATAATATTGACACACACTTCGCCAAGTGGGTCCCACAGTTTAACTGTTTTAATCGGTTCCATAAAAACATAACGTACGAACAACCGTACGGTGCACTGAGTGAATGAATGTAACTAGCGACTTAAAAATTTACACGCGGAAATCTTGGAAACTGAACCAAAGAAACAAATGCTACCGGCTCTTGATTTTGAGCAGGGGCGCTATCCCCACGCTTGGCGGCCTGGCAATTCAGTGCTGGTTAGGCCCCCACTGTCGCAACAGGCCGTTGCGTTCTCACGCAACTGCTTGAGAGGGCTTAGCTAGCCTATAGATAAAACATCGATCAGTGATTGTAATGCTGCCCCTTGGATGGGTCTTTCCTATGGAGACAAACAATTGAACCATAGATCCGCTCTGGGCATCGCTGTAGTGCTGGGCTGCTACACGTCGATACGTCCAATTGGCACATTGCAATCTGGCTGGATCCGTTTTCCGTTTCAAACTGCAGATTCCACTGCACTCTGAGAAGTAGACAAGAATAGCTGATTTTCCGCCAGCCACTATAGGTGCGATTCATCAGCCGGTCGTTAAGTTTTCTTCTAACAAAAACAGTTGAGGTGTGGATTTCATAGACATACTGAAGGAATGCAACAATCTTGGTAGCAGAAAGTGGGCATGTTCTATTCCCACTAACCTGAACGCCTGAATATCTTAAAGTAGATCTTTTAACAAACCTTGTCACTATGGAATTTTTAGTGAAACAAGTCGTAATTCACTAGGCACTCTGAGATCCAATATGATGTAACGGTTGCTTATGGATCTTAGATGTCATCACTCTAGAGATTCCAATGGTTGTGATGATCATATTCGGCATTTCGCGACTAATATTCGGTTGACATCGCATTGCTATATTCGGCTTAGTTACTGCTTTTCTAGCGTTATCACTTTTCCATTGCGAACTGTGACCAAGTCATGGCTCCACGAAAGGACACGTGACGTATGTCCATGATAAACGAAGTTGAGCACTAAAGAATGCGGGGAGCGAGACGGTTAGAGAGCAAATTTACTGACCGGAAGGTCCGTGGTTCGAACCCCACCTCTGACTCTCGACTTACCCTATCTAGGCTTGGGCAACCTAGCAGTATCCCGGCCCTCGTACAACTTTCGGGTGGCATGGCAGTTAGGCACCGAAAGGGTGCTACAGCTGAACGAACCAAATAATGCACAAATCAACCTAACTGAACGGGCTGTAGACTTCACTGCCTTACTTCCTGTTCACTGTACGAAAGAAACCCAGCCTTTATTCATCGTAAAAATGTCGGAAAAGCGGCTAAGTGTTTGATTTATTGTACTTTTATTATACAACATTGGCACAATCTAGCTTGACCTTTTTGGTTGGCACAACCTGACTTTGTTTACTAATTCTAGTGGCGTGAAACTTCTGACATCTACACAAGGAAGATTTGCTGTTCAGGCTTGCAACAGTTTACAAAAGCGGTGATCGTTGTAGGAGGCACTCAAATATTACAGTAGAGTTCAGTGGATAGTTCAAACTTTGCGTCTAACCTTTACTGCGGTCAAAGTAGACCATTGTCGATAAGTCAGATTATAATAATCTGATTTCTTGAAAAAGTCACGTCATAAGTTTATGCCCCATCAAGCAAGCCGAGAAGCTTGTTCCAGACTGTTGATTTCAGTATTGATGGGCTCATTTTGGTCCGATGGATAAATTCGCTTTCAAACTCACTGGTGTAAAACCAGATTCACTTATCAGCAACGCCCGAAGCACCTGCCAGTTTGGTATACCGGGTTGATAGTAGGTTCAAACATCCTGTTCTCCCAATAAACGCAGCAAAACAAAAGATTACAGCCATAACGGTTGCACATAGTCTGTCATTTCAGTGTCACACAAATGAAACTTACAAGCGAGAAACGCATAAACCGTGCAAATTGTTAGGACAAATTCGAAAAGCCATATATAGCTCCGATTATTGAATTCGCTCCATCGATCGATTAAGTTGCATACCATGTGTGTGATCGAAGTGACAAAAAGAACCATCTTGAATAACTGATGCAGAGGATTTATTCGATCGGTCTGAAAGATAAGAAAACTGAAGGATAAGGGGTAGAGTCGCCAGCTTGATTTCTAAACTTGCTGCTAAACTTCCATGTCGGTGCAACGTACTACTCATAAGGTTGCCAAAAACTCTTCAACATTCAAGACAGGTTTCGCCCTATTCGGAGTTCATGAGGTAGATACAGTCCTCGATTCTCCGTCGACCTTATTTTCTACTTGAACACTAAATTGTGAAAAGTTGGCGAATACAATTATTTTGCAAGTTGAGCTTACGGGAATCTCAAATGAATGGCATATGGGTGTATTCCGCCAGCTGCATTTTATTTCGTTCGTGTTGATTTTACCTATGCATATATAGGGTCCACACATCTGATAACAGTATGAGGGGATTTTGAAATTTCAATCAAGATTCTATGCTTCAGTAAGATAGTCGTATGCTGGAAAGCCTAGAAGCACTGTACAACTTATACGGGCTTTCTTTTGGAATCACCAGCACTGCACATTTCACGAGTATTTAGACTGATTTCGTATGCTGGAAGCCTAGAAGCACTGTACAACTTATACGGGCTTTCTTTTGGAATCACCAGCACTGCACATTTCACGAGTATTTAGACTGATTTTCACGCACGATCTCCCGGCTAGTTGTTGAAGGCTATAGCGCTCGACATCAGGCGCATCAGCAGGATGATTTATTTGCGGTTCGACAAGAAATGGCACCATTTATCCTTCAGACAACCGAGTGACATATGTGTCTGATGTTCCCCCTCACAATATACAGGAGGGCAGCCAAAAATTGGGAATATGAATTATTACAATTCAAGGTGAAACAAAATTAAACGATGCATCAAAGTACACTACAGTAGTCAACTACTTTAATATGACTAGATAGTTTGAAACAATTGGATTTCTTTGGACTTGCCACCGAGTTGCGGAGGGGGCTCCGAAAAACGCACAAGTCGTCAATAGTGGAAGGATATATCCACTTGACCTACAAGAAAATATAGCGTCACGCCTTGCGTGTTCTCGTTAGAGCCGATCAGTCGCGCACATCTAGGAAAGTAAGGTGGTTAACTGGGAGATTGCTGGATGAAAAACGTGATGACGAGGCAGTTTGAACTCATGGTCGGAATAAAAACTAACGACTTCTCTGTTCTGGTACCCCCGTTTCATTCCCTCAGGTTACTTAGCATAGAATTTTCTGAATCATAAGAAGCCACACAATGTGTAGAAAAAAGCGTACCGTCGAAGAATTTGGCAATATATCTAATAACTAAGTTTACGTAGACTTCCTGGCGCCTGCCCATATCGGAGTCTGGTTAGCCATTTCTAGTAAAAGTCATCAGGCCTAAACACAAGAGCCTAATGTATGATCAACTGTGTCTCCTTGGTACCATGATCATCTCTTCCAACACTAAACAATGTAAGCTAATTTTCCGTTGACTCTCGAATGCATAGTCCTGAAAAGTGTTCAGAATTTTGCCATACTTGGTGTATTCATATTATATCTGTGTTTTCTCATTTCACATCATTCCTCATTATATCTGTTGTGATAGGACATTGTTTATTAAAGAATGTGGATTTTGATGTATGTGCCTTAAGCAAAACGATCGATCTAAGTAAGGGATGACAAATTGACTCAACGAATACTACTGAGATCCTGGAGAACCTCAATTGACTTGTTGCAAAGCAAAGACCGAAACGTGTGCCTCACATTTCATATACTGAGTGTGAGTTACAGAATATTTTTACCAGAAGACAAACTTTGTGAATTTTAGTAAAAGGCCTATCAAAAAAACTGTGTACAATTTCTGATCAAATTCTCCCACGATCTTGTACGTTGCTACTGAACTGGGTACATCACTACCGTAGTGGGTTCTCTGCCGTCTAACAGCAGAAAGCGTTCTTTCTATGAGATGGAAGTGTAAGTGCCTCAAGGGTTCCACTAGCCTCCTTCTACGGTGATGGCTTAGACGACGTAATAGACAAGTGAAACGCAAGACCTCACCGGAAACGTGGCTACCAAACTAAGAGCCAAGCAACTTATATAAGCCATCCATCTTGAAAAGGTCAGTAGCAGGATAGAGGTCCCAACATTTGTCGGTAAACGTTTCGCCACATCTTCCCGCACAGCGAACCAAAACCAGTATGTGACAGAAGCTGTTGGGAGAAGAAGAACAACAATCCGTTAATATGCGTATCGTTGGTAGAAGCAAAATGTAACGCATTATGTTACCTGCAGATATATGCACGCACCGCTAATGTGATCAAACTATTCTGGTTTATCGCGTCGCGGTGTACCAAGGAAATCTGGGGTCGACCGCTTTTGATCCAAGAGTAAGTAAGCTTGGCATAAGTAATCTTTTCCCCTGATTGGCTGCATCATTACTGCCCAAAAGAAGAGTAGTATGTAAGGGTGCGATCGCATCCCTAAAAGATCAGGAAAACGAGCGCTTGCGTATCACACTATCAGTTTGGAACTATCAGTGTGGAACACTGTGGCAAACTCACAAGAGAACTTGACAATCTTCATACAGAACTTGATTATTACTAGATTAAATAAATTCATCTCAGCAGAAATTTCATTCACCCCTTCACAAGTTCTATAACTGCTTGTTTTGCCACCAGTTTGGAGCGCAAGTTTTGCGAGTCACCAAAGTTGAAACTTATGCTACTCAAATCTCTTGACTTCAGGCTTAGAATAACTCTAGCCGGAGTTCGGTATAGTCGCGTAATGCCATTCCACTCACTTATTTCGGTGCCTGCAGGCTTTCAATAGGCTTGCACGTGTGAATTCCGCGCTACCATCTTTATTTAGCTTACCAGCAGCCGCCATCCAGACTTCTGTTTCTCTGTTCGGCTTACAACACGTATAAATGTTGGTAATGTGTTGGAATATTGGTAGCTCGGGTGTATTGGTTGGTAATTGATCAGGTGGCTGTTGATCTGTTCGCCGAGCTTGGCAATTGGTTTGCAAACGTTTCGTCACCATTGGAGGAGACATCTTCAGTGCGCTGTTGGTTGGGACCCACTGTTGCCACTGTTGCGTACGATCGCTAAGTCTGCCTTGGTCGCACCACACGAACCAACCGGAGAAGTCACTCAGCGACCCTTAAGACTGTCTCACAGCATCCCACTAGATTCGACATGGGAGAGCGGGCAACCAATCGTTTTTGTCTCCACGTTTTGCATTTGACTAACCAATCTTTGCTGTGTACTTCATTTTTCGCTCCTATTTTAAACGTTAGATATGTGCCGACCTGACGACGAGATCCCAAAGCCATTAATGTTCATCACTGTGTTCTTCAAACCATGAATATATTTAAACACCAGGAATTTGTTACCGCTATTTTGTAGTAGGACCAGAGCAATCTATGTCGGCTGAACAAATGGTGATTTAAATGGAAATGATGAGAACACAAAACGTCAAAGCGCTCCACAATCAGTTAAGGTATAGCCAATGGAAAGAAGTTGCCAAAGACTTGGTTCCATTTTTGAAGTGTAGGAATACTGGACCTACTTATCAGGTTGCTCTGATGAGATCCCGGAAGAAAGCCGAAATAGTTTGAATAGAAATCTCTAGACTCAGTTTACTGGACCTCGCTATAACATTCAAATTAAAAGATAGAGGCTTCTCTTTGTTTTTGTTCTGAGACATCGCATCAGACTATGAACCAGGCTTGACACTAAGCGGAATACCTGAGAGTTATCGTGCTTCCAGGAAACGTCATCACAACAAGACCGAAAAGTATCTGGTGACCATCAACGTGTCGGAATCGTACGCTGATCTAAAAAGTGGACAGTATTCCACCTAGGACAGAAAACGAACTAAGGAAAAACTTGAGAATTATCAACGCAAAATATTTTCCTAGGGTTATTCACTCAAACAAGATGCTCACCTAGAACGGATGTGACAAAAAGCCCCGAAGTGAAGTAGAACTTTGCCGGAACAATCCAGCTAAGGTCACTGGATAAAAAATAGAAGTATAAATGAGCTCCTAATTTGCAAACTGAGGAATTGACACAGATATGCAGCAAATATAAACAACACAGATGGGTGCGAAGAGATTATAAGTCGTTCTGAGTAGTGGCGAAATTGAGCAGATATACTGGAATGTGTGGATTCTTTTGGCCGATAAATATGTTGGAGTCTTCGAGAAATACACTCATTTGCAAATCAATTTGGTTTTCACAAGAGACTCTACTGAATCTTTCGTTTAGGATATTCTACAACTGAATGTGCTGCACACATGCCGCCTCATGTTTCATTTGGTACGATATTCTAGATATCGCGTCGCAGTATACTTTCATGAAGGAAACTACTCAGAAGGTTGCCGTCGAAGAGTTTTCAGTAACCTTGTGAATAGTTTCCTTCATGTCGTAGTCTTTTTTGGAGTGAGCTGAAATAAGACTTTTTGCCCTATTAGTTGTTCGAAGTAACACTGTCCCCTTCTTATTTTGTACAAGACACTGAGAACAACAAGGTTGCTGGACGAATTCATTTCATGCACTGCCTTCCGCATACAAAACGGCCTTAGATACGTGATACAGTACAGTATAAAACATACACAATTTCACACTAACGTGACCAATCTATTGGACCAAAGTAATCTCAGAGTGATCCTTTTTAGCATAAAATACAAGCTTTAAACGATTAATAAGCGTAGCCTCAAGATACTTCAACCTATGTGACCGCTTGCTTCATGCTAAGATCTGCACAGGTGAGTCCAGTGTAACTCTGTGTTCTGTGTCACTTATTTGCCTAGCGATGGATGATATGGACGAGGATTCGATCAGTGTTGAGCTATGGTCACCTGGCGTGAAATGGAGTTTTAGGAACGCCTTGGTGTTCACATTTCCGGCCTCCAGTCAGTTCTACCGATAAAACTGAAGTCCCAGTCGCACATAACTGTGCTTCACAGTAAGTCTGGTGCAGGGACACTTGTTATGTCCGTTTACTTGGGCTAAACGCATAACCACCAATGCTGAGAACATCATAATGAATGTTCTTTTTCGGTACCTTGAGTGACACTTTCGGTTTAGCACTCAGAGCGGAGTGCTTCTCGATGAAGCCGTTATGGTGGTTATTTGATCTTGATACATCGTTCATTATCCCCCAAGAGTTCATCCGGGGTGCAGATCTGCCCAACCATACCGACTAAGGTAATCACGAACGAGCATGTTTTTCGCAACAAATACAGGCTCGTCAAGAATACACACTGTCGAGTCCAAATGGGTTTCCGGTACGCGAAGCGAGACACTGTACCTTCGGCATCTTTGGTTATCAAGATGCCCAAAAAAGAGGATTTGATGTTTCATACAAATCCACTGATGAATAAAGTACTCGGTTAAAGCAGACTACAGGTGTTCAGCCTGTCTCTCACTCATTTCACTTGGTAAATTATTACCTGAATATCTTTTATACAAGAGGACTTGTTGCATGCCAGCTTCTGCCAACCCAATTTTGGCCATAATAGGTGTCTGCTGCGATTGTCCCAAACGGCTGTACATGGCAACACCATCAAACAATTTATAGCCGGTCCCATGAAAGTAAAACTTGGCACTCTTAGTACACAGTAGACTGAGGTTCCTAAAAGTAGGGATGGGAAGCTTGATGAAACCTGCATGAGATTCCATATAATCTCCAGAAAAAAATCCGGCCTCATCGAACAGGATGTGGATAAAGAGTAAATGCATATCGAAAGAAAACATGATTTACTGAGAGAAATCGTTGGATAGATGTTTAGGATTGTCATTCACCTTTTAATCTGAATGGTTCTAACGGGTTTAGGAATGACTACTAATCATTTGGTTGGTGATGGGGTGGACCATTCATAGCTAAAACTGGACGAATAGGCATGTCAGATTTATGTATCTTTCTGGGAGTTCATAAGCTACGGTCTGAGAGCACCGACAGGCATAAACCTATTAAACTTAAATTGTGAGAAATGAAATCGTAGAACTCATGTGTGTTTTGTTTTTCCGTCAGCACCGCGTTGTTCAGTTGTTTATCCCGTAGAAATTTGAACGTATTAGCTAAAAATGCGTTCGTTTCAGACAAATAATCTACTTTGCTCAGGATCGCATCCCTTGTATGACCTCAGTATAATAATACTCTTATTTTAACTCCTGTAAATTGGTTACGTGTTCTTTTGATATAGTGTATTGTTGGTATGTCGCACAAAAGCACAAGTAGTTACTGAGATAAGTCTTTTTTTGCGTTGAACAAGCTTTAGTTCTCAGAAGAGATGGGCCAAAGTTTCCCGAGTTGTTCAAGTGAGTGTTCGAACGCTGCGTCTGCTCCTGACGCTTCTATTGGTCTTGGAACTACTCTGAAGATCTCTTATGCCACCCTGGAAATAAATCACATATGTTCAACTACGCAGATACCCCTCCGCTTTATGTGTATTTGTATCACCCGCCAAAAACCAGCCCGATTGCGCTGCTTTGGGAACTACCTAAGACATCACAGTTGTCCTGTTGTAAGCGGTACAAGTAAGTAACAAGTTAGACTCTAACTGGCTGTGTTTGATTCCCGTGTGAACCACTGCTCAAGAGGAGTGTTTAAGATTTCAGGAATACCACAAGTACCACTATGATACCATGAATTCTCATCATATTCCACAATACTTGGGAAGTATATGGTTATGGACCACCAACCAACCGGCCATTTGCACTTCAACACATACACAGAGTGTCTCAGAATAGACGCAAAAAACAATACCCATGTTAAAACTTTAACATTAATTTAAAAATCTATTATTTTTTATGTGGACATAGTTGTATTATGAAGGTTTACTGTAAATAAACTAAAACTACGAAACGTCTGAAAAAATTGCCCTTTTTTTATAACAATTTGGAGACGGTATGAGACGTGAGACGTAGCATGTTTAATCACTCAGAATTTCCTCCTTTGCCAGAAAAGTCCAATACACATCCAGTGGACTAAAATATCGCAATCAAGCGTGTAATGGTCGGCACGGTGACAGGATCTTTGATGAGAACATGTTTGGTTTTGTAACCACGAGGTGCAGCGGTGGCGCTTTCACCAAGGGACTAATAGGGTTTCATAATTTCAACGCACGTACTAATATCCACCAAACAAGAAACAATTTAAAATTTGCATATAAAACCTCCTTTATGTGGTTACTAAAAATGTAAAATTTTGTCATCCTTTGTCTTGTTACCTACTTTAAATTACCTAATTAATGTTTGCGTTTATTATGAGACGAACTGTAGATTACACAAGATTCATCAGAAAAACTAAGCTCCTGTAGTTTCGGTAAATCAGAGCCTTTTCTCTGACTCCGTGACCAATAGTTAACACACTCAAATCACAGAATGGTGTAAGTTGTCAGTATTAACGTACCGATCGTTAACCTAGTGCGCTTTTTACAAATGAAACTAATCTTGTCAGAAGAGTATAAGAACTGAACGTAAAATAATGAATTTACAAATTGCTTTGTTTAGATACGCAATCAGGTGAGCGAGCAATTTATATCTGTTGCTGAATAAAATACTTATAATAATTGTCTTGATGCATGTGTAGCCGAATCTTTGTTGAGACTCGTGAAGTGCACAGGCCTGTTGATTCCCATCAAAGATGAAGCAGTTATTTTTGGTTTTTTAAAATATGTTGGAATAGCTGAAACTTTCCAAAGTTTTCACCGCATACGGAGCGTCTTTTGTGTCACTGCCTTAAGGGGAGATTTTCCAGTATCTATTGTCAGTAAACGCAGTTAAATGGGATGTGTATACTCACCTAAATGTTCTCACCAACTGGATCTTGTTCTGTGTCCTACAAATCAGACACAAATAGGATAAACAAAATATCCCATCAGGAGAAAGTGGTGATAGCTTTTTTCACGTCAGTTTTTTAGCATTCAGTTTTATAGATAGCACTTTAACTTCCCAAGGAGTGGATCGTCATCAAGGACTCAACCGCCTATCATTTACGTCACTTTATCTGTTTTGATCCATCAGTACGTGCCCATCACTCTTTTC